ATGGTGTTTACGTAGTATGAGGTCACCAATGCAATGGACTAAGACCGAGGTGGAGTCAAAGTCCGAGGTAGGGACTATGACGGAGGCTCGGAGTAAGGTATGAGCGGTGTCCGAGTGCGAAGTACGGAACAACGGTGGAAGGTCGTAACTTGGCGGAAGGGTGGCGGAGGAGTAGCAGAGGGAGGAGAGAGGGGAAAGGTAAGGAAGAAGGAGTGGCGGAAAGAAGAGTAGTCAGGTCCGAAGGTGAGTATCGGAGCGGACAAGGGAAGCGTAGGAGGATAACGGGAGGGTGGAGGTGTTGTGAAGGGGGAGCGGAGTAGTAGGAGGGTGGCGAGAGGAGCGGTGTTCGGTCCGAGATGAGTATCGGAGTGGACGGAGATAGGGTCGGGGAGGTAAGGAGGAGGTGTGTTGCCAGGACCGAAGGTGAGTATCGGAACGGCAGCGGTAGGTTATGACTCCGGAGGTGAAGAGGGTGGAGGTCCGGAAGTTGGGTCAGGGTCAGGTATGCACGGATATGACACCCCCTCTCTCTCCCTTTCGCCCTCTATCCCAATACCCTATCCTCCTTACTCGTTCTACCCCTTTCCCCCCCCTCATGCAAAGCTTTCCCCATTGGGGTTTTGGTGCTGGCCGAGGTTACTTGTGTTTCATGGGATTTCCTGTGACCTTTCCATTTGTAGATAGTCATGCATCTTGTATGGAAACCACCGAAGGCGGTTCCTGCTAACTACTACTACTCTCTACAACTGTCTTGTGTGTCGTCCCCTGTAACAACCCTTCTCTTGTGACTCAACTGAACCTGTGTGACTGTACAACTCCCAACATGTCTTATAAGTCTGGTTATGTCGAGTCCTCTAGCGGTCCTCACCATGAGAACTCGAGGTCACGAGTCAAAGACTCTCAGCATGTATATCATCCTATGGAATCTGTACCCTACGGGACTTCATCACTCAGCTCTCCCCCCAGTGCTTGACAGACGACGTCATATCATGATCTTGGAGATCATGAATACTCTGAGGCCCACATTCCCATGATGCCAGCATGCTCGCTATGCGAGCACCAAGTAGCCGTCCATCCATCGTCTGTTCCCTCCCTCGTCAGTCATCATATCCCCCTGCCAATGGCACATTCCCTTTGGGAACACCAAGTCACCGAAGGCCCTGCTAGTCAATCCTCATTGCACACTCATGATGTCAACCTGCTACCGGTATGTTTGCGCTGCGAACGCCAAGTAACTGATGGCAGTTATATGAAGTTCTCACCCACCTCACGAGTTGCGACCATGCACACAGTACGCTCCATCGAGGAGCGCCAAGTACCCGTGGCTGACCCGTCCATCCTGACGTCTCCGACTACCTACCATCAATTCCTTAATAGCTCACTACATCACCAACCACAATCGATGGGAATTCGATTGTCCACTCCCATGCAAGACTGGGATCACTCATTGATTACATATCCCATTATGGTACAGACTAGATACAACGTTCGTCATCCCTCTATAAGAACGGATTGAGGAAAGGGGATTTCTCCCCATCCCCATAACAGAAAGGGAGCGGAGATGCATCACAATCCACCAGGAATCATATATCTGCCAGATCCTTGAACAATTTGGGATGGCAAACGTGGACACAGTGGTGACCCCAATGGACCCCTCAAGTAAACTGGGGTGGTGAAGGAGCAGAGCTGGATCACCTTATGTAACCAGTTTCCTACATCCAATAACGATATTAAAGTTTGTGCTGATTTGCTTACTGACCATGTTTTGGTTGCCAAATGTATAATTGTTCACTGTCTAAACAACAATAAACACCCCCAACAATCTCACCTGATGCATAGATCGTCTACAGATAAAATTCTATATTGACTTTACTATAATTTCTAGTCAATATTACACCTAGATATGTATACCACTTTTCAATAGGACGTGATTTTCCTGATAATTTACTGAAGAAAAACTTCTAATAAAATAATTCCACAATAAATGTTACTCAATACAGGAGTGACCAAACTGCTCTTTCTATTGCTTAGAGTGTGTGCTAGTTATCTAGCAGGTTCAGGATTGCTCACTTTCTCCTGTGGTGTGATAACCAAATATTACTGAGAGATTATTCAATTAAGAAGTCCCTCCACCAAATTCTCACTAATTCTCACTATGACACTTTTTTCAGCTGTGTCTAACTGACCCTAACTCACACTTAGAGTGACATGTTAGTTTTATATTAGCTAACAACTAATATTTGCTTTTATCTTTTGGAGCAAACAAACCAACCACTGGTGAGGAGAATTAAACATATATTTCTACCTGAGGTTTGAGAGGGGGCAGAAGTGGTGGCCTTTTATGCTTTTCAGAGACCTCTCTACTCTCATGCCTCGCACTAGTTACATGTGCTACATTTGTATTATAGATAGTTCTAGAATGATATAGGGGCTTGGGCTGTGTAAGCTTAATAATGGACTTAGGACATGACTCAGCAATAGGTAATTCAGTTCTTTGTCTTTCAGGCTGATCTTAGCGAGGCCTTGCAGTGCTAAAGCTATGCTCTACACTGCCTTAATTACGAATGCTTATCTTTAGAAATGACTCAGCTATAAAGGAACTTTCTAGACTGTTCTCTAATTCACCCCTTTTTGTGAAGCCACATCATTACCAATATTCTAGAGCCTTCCCAATTAATTAAAAGCTCTGTGGACTTTTGAATCACTTTATGCTTATGATCTGAGATCCAGATCATCAATCATTCCTTTGTTCCAATTTATTTGGGCTTAAAATCAAAAAGTTTTGATGAATCATGGGAAAGTACACAAGATCCAGTTTTTTTAGCATTTTCTCCTCTTCTGATGTGATCAAAAAGTGTCCATCTGCGCCGGGGAGTACTCTGCCATATGGTATTTGGTCCGCCAGACTTCTGGGCATCAATATATTTCCCTTGAGTCACATTACTTTTTGTAAGAATTAGTGAATAAATATATGTGAATTATAAGATGTTTTGCTGTTTGAGCTATATCTCTGTCAGTTTTGAAGCTTTCAGAATAAAAAAAACCGTGGATAAAGTTAAGAAACAGTACTTTTAGATGGTAAAAAGATTACAGTCAAAAATGTTCTGGTTCCCGAGATATTCACTTTTCTTTCCCAATGTTCCCTCTTATTCTGCCATCTACATGCTATTTTCTTGTTGTAGGGATATATTCTTTGAATATTATATTTCCCTACACCTATGCCAGGTTCTAGGCATTCTTGTAGTAGCTTAAACCTCATGCTACATGGGTGTGGATAATTACAATGAGCTTCTAATATGTGTCCAGTCTCACAAAGATCATGAGATTGTCAGGGACAGCTCCAAAAGCGGTGAGGTCCCGGTGTGCAGGACTTGGTGGGATGAATAGTGGCTATGCATAGCGGCGATCCCATCATGGGGTGAGCATCCCCGACCACTTGGTCTGAAGTGGGAATGTGAGAAGAAGGCTACTTCTTCAGTTCCCACTCCAGCTGTTATTATATACATGTGGGGTGTGCCATGTCACCCTTGCACACAGCCATGGCTCTCCAGGTGTCTCCATAGGAGATCCCAAGAGGGTCCGTAGCAGGCACAGGGTGAGTGTGGCAGCGATGACGGTGATATAGGGATGGTAAGATACAGGAGGGGAAGTGGGTGTCTGCCCCAGTGATACATTGAACAGCGGGAAAGGTGGTCCATGTAAGAGAGAGAAAGGAAGAAAGAAGAAAGGAAGGAGAAAGAAAGAGGAAGGAAGGAAGACATGGTGCAGAGTGGGGAAGCGGAGTGGGGTCAGGCGGGGCATGTCAGGGCATGCCCTGACAGAGATCTGTTAAACATTTGAACTTGTCAGCTGATTGTTGACTATTCTGATACATCATTGTTTTATTCTTCGAATATTATTTCTCCTACAGTGGGCAACTGACAATGACCTTTTTGAGCACTCAACCCTATACCGAGAAGTGATTGGGGCACCCCTATATGCATCTATGGCTATGAGACCAGATATCAGCTATGCGGTCCAAACACTCAGCCAGTTTTGCTCATGACCTTCCAATGAACACTGGAGGGCTGTTAAGAGAATCTTCAGATATCTACATGGCACAGAAGACTTGGGAATAATGTATGACGATCTGAGCAGGTATGCTGACATATATGTGTCAGGCTTCTCTGATGCAGACTAGGGATCATCACCAATTGATCGAAGATCAGTGTCAGGGTATGTCTTCCTGTTGGGTGGTGGCACTGTGGCTTGGTCATTGAAGGAACAACCAACTGTTGCACTGTCATCTACAGAAGCAGAGTACATGGCAAGTTCAAATGCCACCACACAAGTGATATGGTTAAGAAATTTATTGAACAAACTCAACTTCATCCAACCATTCCCTGCCAAGCTCAATCTCGATAATCAGTCAGCCATCGCACTAGCCTCCAATCCTGTCAGGGCCCGGCCTCGGACTCGGAGGCTCCCTGACCTCAACCCCCATCTGGCCTGTCCTCACACTATGCAGGGCATGAGATGTATAGTAAAAGAAAGGGAATATATACACTTGCCTATGCGGGGCATGAGATGAGAAGAAGGGTAAAGGTCTCATCTCCCCGCATGGTTGCTATATAAAGGAATGGGTCACATGCCCACAACTATACAGCTCCTAGAGTTGTGTAGTGTGACCCGGAGGGAACATCCAGGTGGCAGTGCCCAGTAAGCGTGGGAACGTTCTGGGCGAGTTGCTTGCCCAGAACTGTGGCTGTGACCCGTGGGAACATTCTGGGCGAGCTGCTCAGAAAGTTCCCATGCTATCCCGTGCGTGTGTGTACACAACACACAAAGGCAACAACAAGGCAACAGTCAAAGAATAAAAGGGGGTAAAGTAGGTGGGGAGTCTGGGGCACCCTAAGGCAGGGTGCTGAACCCTGACAAATCCCCAATTCCACGCCAGATCCAAGCACATCAATATACGCCACCACTTCATATGAACCTGTATTTAAGATGGTAAAGTCCAGCTATTCTGGTGCCCCACTAATAAGATGATGGCAGATATGCTTACCAAGGCGCTTCTGGCACCCAGGTTTAGTCACTTCCACAGAGAGTTGGGCATTTGTCCTGGGCTTAAAGGGGGGTGTTAGCAATATGTAAGCCAAGGACATCATGTGACCTTGTATTATATACTCACATTATGCATCTGCCTCCTGGGTACCCATAATCTAACACAGGCAGCATCATTGCAACTTGGACTGATGCTGTTACCAGTGTTGCCACAAGTGTAGCGGCCATTGTCACTGTTTGTGTCAGTGCTGCCTTATCACAGGGAAGTTATATTTCATCCATCCTGTTGTTCACTCAGTTACTTACCTGTGCATTGTGATGGTCAAGGATGGATGTCACATCAGCAAACCTGGATGCGGAGGCCTGAGAGCTCATAGAGCTCATAGAGTGCTCAGAGCTCTCAGAGCTCTCAGAGTTTCAGTACTTTGAAATTGCAGTCTCTCAGAGCTCCCCAAAGTAGTCAAAGCTCATAGAGCTATATTTGCACACAGGGGACTATTATCTATATGAGCTCCCTGAGTGTTTAATTTATCCGATATCAAAATTAAAATTTTAAGAGCATTGACTCTGGCATCATGTGATGAGTCACAGCCAAGTCCCCACCATGCAGGAAACTGAACAAACTGAGCTTAACTTTCAGCCCCCAATGCGGCACTACACACCAAGGGTATATAGCCAAATTAATATATAGACCAAATTTAGGGATATACATATACAGTTAATTAAGGAAAATGCGGGAAAATGAGTGGAGAAATGGGGGGGAAATTGAGGGGAAATTGAGGAGGGAATTGGGGGGGGGGGGAATGAGGGGGGAATGAGGGGGGGAATGAGGAGGGGAATGAGGAGGGAATGAGGAGGGGAATGAGGGGGGGAATGAAGGGAAATTTGAAGGGGGGAATGGGGGGAAATTTGGAGGGGGAATGGGGGGGGAAATGAGGGGAAGATTGAAGGGGGAATGGGGGGGAAATGAGGGGAAAATTGTGTGAGAGAACTAGCGGACAATAAGTGCTCAGTTCACGAGAGTAGAACTAGATGTAATTAATGTACCTAGCGGACAATAAGCGCTAAGTAAAGTACACGATCTCTCAGTAATGAGTAGTCGCGTAAGAAGAAGGTAGACCTCACCTCAGTTCACGAGAGTAGAACTGAGGGAAGCAAGAAAAGGTTGCGTCCAGTGGCTTTTAAGCCTACAGCGACGTCGATCTACAAGAAAGACAAGAAAGGAATAAAGGAAAATCTCTGGCGGCTGCAGGTCCGTGCGCCCAAAATATGGGACGTCGATATTCCTTAACAAATTGAAGGAGGGAAATGGGGGGGGGGAATGAGGGGAAAATCGAAGGGGGGGATGGGGGGGAAATTGTGGAGGGAATTGGGGGGGGAATTAAGGGGGGGGATGAAGGGGAAAATGGGAGGAAAATGAGGGGGAACTGGGGGGTTTCTAAAAAGTCAGGGAAAATTAAGGAAAATTCAGAAAATGGGGGACTTTCTAAAAATGGAGAATGTCCAAAAAAAGGGGGAAAATCAGAAAATTTGGGATAAGTTAGGGAGAGATATTTCAGGAAATTAGGAATAATTGGAAAAGAAATTAAATCACTTTTTTGATAATTCAATGTGTATTGGAAAGTGCCAAAGTGGGGCAATGTAGCAATGTATGTTTCAGTGTTAGAAAAGTCTCCCACCATGTTTTGGTGAGCCAAATAACCATGGCTTTTTGACCATGGGAAATTTGGTGTCAAAGGCTTGGATGATATCTGAAGAATACATCAGCTTTTTGTTTGCTTTATTGGGTGGTATTTTTAATTTACTTCATTTGGAACACTTTTTTAAAACTGATTTATACCCTACATAACATGCATGGTTACATTGCCACACTTTGGTGCTTTCCAATTCACATAGAATCATCAAAATTGGTTGAGTTTTGAGCAAGAAATGAGATGAAAGATAAAGTGCAAATTTTTGAATTTCAGAGTTTTCCTCATATTTTGTAAATAGCAATAAACAAATAAGGTGCTGATTTTAGTAAACACAAAAGGTATATGAGCTTTCAGAGCAATGACAATGGCCATTTTACACACACATATATCCATATTATCTTTGCACTACTGGTGCCAAAATAACTAAGCAGATTTCATGGAGATTGTCATATCCATACAATCCCGACCTCCGCTCCGGGCTCCCGGAACTCCGAACTCCGACTTCCGGAGCCCTACTTCCCTTCCGTCACCTTCTCCTTGCTGACTCCCAAGAGGTTATCCCACCTCCGGCTCGGACACCACCTTCGGTCCGACTCCGGAACATTCCGGGTCCGACCCCAACCTCGACACCTTCCAGACGAGTACGCAAAACCTATGCTCCCAACTCCGGACCTCTGCTCCGGTATCCCGTTCACGTCTCGTCTCCGGAACCTCCGGTCTTAGCTCCGACCTTGGACTTTGACCCCACCTCCGCTTATACCCATTGTATTGGTTAGCTCATTCCATTTAATTACCTTTGCCAATATTCCGGAGTTTAACCTCCGAGTTCGGACTTTCCGGACTTACTCCGGACCTTGCAACTATTGCATTGTCCATTTCAATTCCGCTATTCTCCCTCATTCCTATTTGGGCTGCTGCTTCCTTTCCATTCAGTCAGCTAGCCATTCCCGACTCCCATCCTCCTTCCTTCCTTCTTGGGCCTTGGCCCTTCATTCCTCCTTTGGGAAACACCATTGAGTCAAACACTTGACCCTCGGTGTTGTTCCTCTTTCCATCTCCCTTTGTCTCCTTTTGTCCTACCCTTGTTCCTTTTGATTCCGGACCCCTCCTTATATACAATGTACCTAGTAACTTGTAACCTCAGTCCGAAATCGACTTGAATTCCCCCCAAGAGACTTTCCCTCTGCTAGATCTGAAATTAGGGACCCCTAGGACAACCAGCAATGGCACAGCGCTCCACCTGAGTCGCTGAGGCCAAGGTCCTTCCACACTAAGTCTCCGATTCCACTCCGGAGTCATCCGAATCCACCCGTTCTAACAGAGATATGATGACCATCCATTATTTACAAACAAAAAGCTCTATGAGCTCATAGAGGTTTTCAAGTAATGATGCTGGCCATTTAATATGCATTTCCAAAAATGTATATACATATTATCTTTGCACTTCTGCATCCTTAGGAGAACAAAATCATTCAAACATTCAATTTTCTCCACCCAATGTGTAGAGGGTGCACAGCAAAAAGACTCAATTTGCTCACAGAGCTCACAGAGCTCCCTACCAAGTTTGCTGATGTTGAATGTAACAGGAGTGAAAGTTATTACAAATAAAGGAAAGTGAAGTGACCAACAGGTTGGAAAAAGGAAGATAAATGTTAAACATATAGTGATAAGACAGTAGAGACTGACTAGAAATAAACCTAACATCAATCATCAGGCATCTCACCGAGATAATGTAGGTCAGGTATCCTTGCACTAAAGCATCAAACCAACCGTTGCTGTCTTACAACAACTGACTGTCACTAAAGAATGGGTCCTTAGAGTATGGTGCAGTAGGTGTTGCAGCTGTGGTTGTGGCTGTGCAGTCACAGGACTACCCCAACTACACTTGCCAATGTATGTACATGAAAGAATGAAAGAGCACTGTTTTGTAGTGCAAGGGTTTATCCCTGCAACAGTGTCAGCCTGTCATATCCATACAATCCCAACCTCCACTCCAGGCTCCTGGAACTCCAAAACCAACTCCAGAGCCCCACTTCCATCACCTTCTCCTTGCTGACTCCCAAGAGGTTATCCTGCCTCCAGCTCCGACACCACCTTCAGTCTGTCAGGGACAGCTCCGAAAGCGGCAAGGTCCCAGTGCAAGGGACTCGATGGGACAGGTGTTGGCTATGTGTAGCGGTGGTCCCGTTGCGGGGTGAGCATCCCCGACCACTTAGTCTGAAGTGGGAAGTTGAATTATCATTAAAAGGGGAGAAGCTACAGTACTTACCTGAAGTGGGAAGTTGAGAAGAAGGCTGCTTCTTCTGTTCCCACCCCAGGCACTATTATATACATGTGGTTGGGGTCATGTGGGGGGAGCCACGTCATCTCCACACACAGCCGCACTTCCCTGGGTATCTCTGCAGGAGATCCTGGAGGTGTGCTGCTCTGTGAGTGGGAATGCATGCAGCGGGCATGGCGATCAGGGGAGCGGGGTTAGGTGTGTAGTGATACATAGAGAAGGGGAAGTCAACCATGGAACAGAAATAGAAAGAAGAAAAGGGCAAAGAGGAAACAGGGAGTGATAGCAGGGGGAGCAGAGTAGGGCAGCGCAGCATGGGGTCAGGTGGTGTGTGCCCTGACACAGTCTGACCTCAACCTCGACACCTTCCAGATGAGTATGCAACTATGCTCCCAACTCCGGAATCCTGTTTGCATCTCCATCTTGGAACTCCAGTCTTAGCTCTGACCTTGGACTTTGACCCCACCTCCACTTATACCCATTGTATTGGTTAGCTGATTCCATTTATTTACCTTTGCCAATTGTTACAGGAATGGGTTCCGGGGAACCCAACCTGAGCCGTTCTGCTCACGGACAGGAGTGGCTGCGTAGCCGATGAAGGGAGAGCAGGAGGAGATCTGAGACTGGGTGTACTAATGGTAACTTGGCACTCCTGGGAGCATACTGGTAGCGAATGTGATGTGGGCTCCTTGAGGGAGCCTCCTGGCTGTCTGCTAATGGGGACTTGGCGCTCCTGGGAGCGTGCCGGTAGTGGGTGTGCTGGGAGTGGTTGGCTAGCGGTGACTTGGCGCTCAATGGAGCGTACCGGTAGTGCAGGATACTGGGACTCCCAAAGGGAGTCACCCAGTTGGTGGCTATCGGTGACTTGGCGCTCACAGGAGCGTACTGGTAGCAGGAGTTGTTGAGGAAAGCGGGCTGGTGGACCAGAGCACAGTAGTGGGTGACCGTGGGAAGTGGGACCCGCAGGTGCGTGGCCAGGCATCCTGGAGCTGCCTGGTCCATATCCCTCTCATAAGGAGGTGGGATAGGCTACAGTTCCTGAAAGGGAACTTCTGGTTGGATGGGAGTGACCACTCAACCACTTGGTGGACTGGTGGGAGCGGGCTGCAGGAGGTTGGGCATGGGAATGCCCTCCTCATTGTGGTTTTGTCATGGAGAGGATGAATAGGGAGGTGGACATGGTTCCAGGGTTACAGGTTGAGTTTACAGTGGTGGCACAATGGTGAGGATGTTACAATCGCGGTACAAGGTTTGTGGGTTATGTATTCGATAGTGTAGGAACAATTCCGGCAACTGCCTTACATGTCATATGACTCATAACTATCTAATATAAATATTATAATGGTCAAGGGAAATCCCTTGAAAATCAACAAATCCCCCAGCCAGCACCAAAACCCAGTGGGAAAGCTTGGCATGGGGTTTGACAGCGAAATAAGGTGATGGAATCCCAAAGTCTGCTTGCCTATAGTCACGGACCATAAGATTCTAGATCCGTTTCTATAACACCAATATTCCAGAGTTTTACTTCCAAGTTTGGACTTACTTTGGACCTTGCAACTATTGCATTGTCCCATTTCAATTCCACTATTCTCCCTCATTCCTGTTTGGGATGCTGCTTCCTTTTTATTCAGTCAGCTAGCCATTCCCAACTCCCTTCCTCCTTCCTTCCTCCTTGGGCCTTGGCCCTTCACTCCCCCTTTGGGAAACACCATTGAGTCAACCCCTTGACCCTTGGTGTTGTTCCTCCTTCCAGCTCCCTTTGTCCACTTCCAGACTACCCTTGCTCCTTTTGATTCTGGACCCCTCCTTTATATACAATGTACTCAGTAACTTGTAACCTAAGTCTGAAATCAACTTGATTCCCCCCTAAGAGACTTCCCCTCCACTAGATCTAAAATTAGGGACCCCCAGGACAACCAGCAATGGCACAGCACTCTGCATGAGTTGCTGAGGCCAAGGTCCTTCGGTGTCTATGCCCATCTTGTTGCTGGGTTTGGGTCAACGGAATAACCGCTTGCTCTAGTAGTAAAGCTCAGTCTCACTATATGCGCGAGAACTGTTATATTACCTAGTAGTAAAGCTATAAGGTAATATACAATGAGTTATAAGATATAAGAAAGAAAGAAAGATAACTAACCTCAGTCTCACTATATGCGCGAGAACTGAGGAAAAGGGAAACTAATTCAAAAGATTGAATATAGTTTGTGGACTTCGCGGATAAGTCCGAAGTGACCAAAATAAGTAAGAAGAAAAGGTGTTGTGACCAAGTAGTCACGCTACCGCGGGAATGTGGCTGTCCGGGCGAGTTCCTCGCTCGGATGTGGGAATGTGGCTGTACGGAAACTCGTCCGGCCTCCCATAGCACACGGTTCCTCCAACATGGGTCAGATTGATGGCAGCTCAGCTGCTGGTCATCAGTTCACCGAAACACCACCCACTTCAACAAGTTCTGAACCTGAAAGGCTCTCCCTCTCTCTCTTGAGTCTGGAACCATCCCAGACTCTCTCATAGGCTCTTCCCCTCTCAAGGAGCCTCCAGAGAGCAAGTCCTCTGACGATGACTCTGTGCTTGCCGCTCTGGTAAGAACAGTTCTTATGCCCAGCAGACATACTGGGTTACATCATTTGAGATGGGTCAAGATATTGGAAAAGCAAGCTGCATTGTACAATTAGAATCTAGACAATGTCTTCCTACTGAGTCCCCCGCGGAAGCGAACGAATCTCTCTTTCAGGCTTTGCTGAGCCGCTTTTGTGGAAAACAAAACGAAGAGCATGAATGTCACAAGCGGGGCAGAGGTGAAAAATGAGGATAACCCATATATTCCCTTGGCATCGATGGGGCATGTGTCGTCATGCGCAACTGCCGTGATGCACTGCTGTTGATGGGTATAGATCAAAGTAAGGATAATTCTTCCCTGCAGTGTAGATGGGACGGTAACCGCCAGATGACGTGAAGATGCTGCCAAGCAGTCCCATCAGTCAGTCAATCAGAAAGAGATTTGAGGCTACCATACATCGTCAACACAATCTACCTCACTATGAACCGCATGCATAGCGTATTCCGGAGGAATAAAGAGGCTGGTGACGGACTACATACAATTCTCAAGAGAAATATCAAACACTAAAAGTACAAGGGATACCCAAAAAATCAAAGATACATCTCAAGGTGAGAAAACGATAAGATGACATCACGGATGGAAACCTAACCCAAGGGGAATGGACCGAAGGGTCATTCCTGCGCATCATCTGGCGCCGGATGCGGCACTGACCGCACAATGGACATTTGGACGGTAGGACCTTCACCAGGCTCCCATCCCAGCGCAACATCCCTGATGCCGGGGTTCACAACCCGCGGAGGACCAGGCACCACATTGGGACTGATCCGCAGACTGGCACTCCCAGGGATAGCCGCCCCTGCCAGAAGATTGTCATGTCCGGAATGACGTCTGTTTGAATGTAAGGTATGATGACTGGGCATGGACCCAGGTGACGAATATGCCAGCTTGTGAACGTTGCTCCCTACCGTACTGGTTCCGGCGGAGCTGATAGGTTTCCCCAAGGGAACCGGCGCAACTGGATCTCCGATATTTGTGTCTTTTTGACCTCCACTCATACGGGAACGTAGCCAGTAAAGGAGCAGAAGCAAAAGAAACACGAAAATAACTGCACCGCCAGCCGCACCCCCTATGGTGGCTCCTGCATTCGTTGACTTCCGAGTCGTTGGGTTGGAATCCTGAGGACGAATGGAAGTGATCGTACTGGTCAGGCTAGGGGCCTGGTAATTTTAGTACTTCCTTCGCGTTCTTAGTGGGAGGCCCTTACCGAAGTAAACGTCGAGACGGATTGGAACGAAATGGAGAAGGCCGGCGACTAAATCAGAGCTAGTTATATTCGAGACGTTGACGCAAGGTTGGTCAGATACCTACCTCGGATATTAGTGAGGAGGTCAATGCTTCAGAGAGTGAGGATCGCTCGGACTGCTCAGACTGTACGGAGAGCGAAAAGTGGGTTCCGTTCGATGAGCCAGGCTAAATCACGTCCAATAATTAGCTTGCAGCACTTCTAGGAGCATAGCCTCATCCTCACCAGAACGATATAATCAGGGCTTGTGAGATGAATGCCGTAGTCATCTCGAAAGGAGAAATATATCGTCGTTCCGGTAAAGTTGTGAAGTTCCCTGTTGGTCAGAAGGTGATCGGAGACATGTCAGGAGATCTGATCACTCGATTCGATAGAATTAAACGAAAACCGTGACGCACAATTGGACGCTCGTGTCATTACCAGTGTACGAATATTGGAGGACGTTAAGGTCGCGATCCCGAAGTTGCAAAGCGAAAGGGCCCTAGGGGACAATATTTTAGAGAATAATGCTCATACCGGGGGGGTCGATAAGATGATAAGTTCAGGAAGCCCACAAATCTAGAAATGCGCAACAGGGGGGCAGCCCACGAACTCACAGTACAGTTCCGGTCCCAGTACACAGTAAAGGGAACTTCATCGTAAATTGATTGAAAGGCTGGGAAAAGTACATCGCAAGCGCTAACATGGAGAACAAAAAGGAGGGACAGCGCAAGCGCCCGGAGAGTGTTGATCGTCATATGTGAGTTAATTCGTGAGGAGACGTGAGGAGACGACCGTGGGGGGGGGGTTGTCGCGAAGATGGGTAAGAGGGATCCCTCAAGCCTTACAGTGATATGAAGGAGGCGGTGATTTGAAAAAAAGCGTTCAATCCCAAAAAAAGCTGCATCGGGTGCTGCAGCGCCATGCGTCCAAGATGCTAAATCGGCCACACATGACAAGTTCGTGCGAGTGCGCTCTTGCGATCGGCGGGGCCTCGCCGAGTCTTCAGTGCGAGGGGTGCTTTGCGGTATGACAGCATAACGCCACTGAATGCCACTGAATTGTGTTTTCCTGCAAGGATGCCGCCTTCACTTATTATAGCAACTGGAAGGCCGGAGCCGCGAGTAAGCAGGTGACCATCCTCTAATGTTGAATAGAGTATCGAGTCCATTACTTATGTAATTGCGCACACAGGCCCAAGCCACAGCGCGTGCTGGTGCAAGTTCCTCAAAGTTTGCCAAGCGTTAATGTTATTACTCCCGTAATTACGTATTGCATTCTTTAAATAACACTAACTTTAGCAGCTAGTAATCCAAAGAAGGAAATCATAAACGCCGCAAGGGTCAACATCAACAAACGTGCGCAGGTCTATGTTCCAAGAAATCTTATTCCTTCCAAAAATTTGCACGCAGTGCCAGTGTTGGGCAGACGTGGTCCCAACGTCTTTCCCATGGTCTGAATTGTCCCATCCGTTGTGTGTCGGCTGAAGCCCAGACCTCGCTTGTTCAATGTCGGCACTAGTACTGTTGGGCAACGAGTTTCGCTGGAAGGTGATCACATGAGGCCCCGGTCCGGAACTTTTGAGACATTGGACAGAGCACAATCAGACCACAAAAATGATTTGATTATTGGGGGTCCAATGCCATCAGGCTGGGCACCAGGTGACCAACCTCTATAGTATTTAAATAACTGGTGGACGCCGCCTGCCGCGGCAAGGGCCCGCTACTCTCTTCACAACTGCCTTTCGACGTTTGGTTTTGGATTTATGGTCATATCTTCACTCTTTGCATTACCACCATTCCAGAACACCCCTCCCCTACTATCTTCAGTACATTTTTCACAACCGTGTTTTCCATGCAGAGTCGGAGCCGACTGGGTACGGAGTTATGAGGGACTGAATTATATTGTCATTGTCATAACTAGTTTAACTGCCTTCGGCTGGTTGCGAACATAGTGGCTAATTGTAGCTTCATGAACAATCGAGCCCTCTTCTTCCCCATCATTCCCAAGGCTTTTGAGTGTCTCACTCATGTTAATTGCAGCAAGCACTGCAGCTTTCTGTCAGAGTCTGGAATATTGTCAGAGTCGGGCAGACTGTCAGAAGATGGACTGAAGACAGATTGGGTTTCTGTCTGAGTTGGGGTCGGAGATTGTGGCAGAGGTCTGTTGGAGCACGCACATGCAGATATGCGGGCAGAAATGTGCGGCGCATCCGGAAGCGCTGTTCAAGGTTAGCAGAGTGGGATTGTGGCCTCAGTGACTCAGGTGGAGTGCTGTGCCCTGAGCTTGACGTTTGGGGGAGATCCCGTATTTACAGACTGACACTTACAGCGGACTTCAAACAAGACTTGCAGGCAGAGCGGACCTGTAGGAGGAGCGCGGACTCCACGAGCACGGACTCAGAGGGGGGGAAGCCCCCTTTGCAGAAGGAGGGACTCAGACCAGACAGGGGGGTACTCTAGTTGATTTCAGACTGAGGTCCCCGAAAGTATTTACAGGATATAAATAGGCAGGAGGGAAACACAGAAGGGCCGGTCAGTCTGGCGCGGTCTGGCGTGGAAATAAGCGGGGATTGTCAAACTGAATGAAGGAGACTCCTCCAGGCTGGGGAAGATCTCCCACCTCCTCAGGAGGTGATCGACTTGCACGATAAACACGTAAGCACTGAACAATCAGCCTGAAAAGCTGATTGGATAGAGTTGCTGTTAGAGACTGGAGTGAGATGAAGGAGTTGTGTCACAGCTGTGCATTCCAGCCCAATAGCTGCCTGTCCCGATGCCACCCAAGCCCATTCCCACTATGCAAGCGCAAGTGCGAGCCCTGACCTCAGCCCTATCCTCCATGAGGACTCCCTGCTCACTCCCCTGCTTGCCCCTAGGCCCCCCTGCACCTGGCCGACTCCCCCACAGCCACACCAACCTTCCCACCCTGAGTCTGCCTCCGGCACCATGCCCATTGCCGACTCCTCTACCCTGCCCACTTGGCCCCTACAGGGCCACTACCATTCCCACGCACGACTCTGGCCCAACTCCGAGTCCAGCGCCGCTATGATACCATCACCGCTATCGCAGCCCTACGCTCCTTCCTTTATTTATCTGTTATTGTTTGTTTTGACCCTCGGTCATTACTGGCCACTATGCGGCCAACCCCGCTCCTTATTCTTGTTTGCTTCCAGACCCTTCGGCTGTTAGAATGAGGCGGACTTGGACGACTCCGGAATGGAATCAGAGACTTATCATGGAAGGACCTCGGCCTCAGCGACTCAGGCGGAGCGCTGTGCCATTGCTGGTTGTCCTGGGGGTCCCTAATTTCGGATCTAGCAGAGGGAAAGTCTCTTGGGGGGAATTCCAGTCGATTTCGGACTGAGGTTACAAGTTACTAGGTACATTGTATATAAGGAGGGGTCCGGAATCAAAAGGAACAAGGGTAAGACGAAAGGAGACAAAGGGAGATGGAAAGAGGAACAACACCAAGGGTCAAGTGTTTGACTCAATGGTGTTTCCCAAAGGAGGAATGAAGGGCCAAGGCCCAAGGAGGAAGGAAGGAGGATGGGAGTCGGGAATGGCTAGCTGACTGAATAGAAAGGAAGCAGCAGCCCAAATAGGAATGAGGGAGAATAGCGGAATTGAAATGGACAATACAATAGTTGCAAGGTCTGGAGTAAGTCCGGAAAGTCCGAACTCGGAGGTTAAACTCCGGAATATTGGCAAAGGTAATTAAATGGAATGAGCTAACCAATACAATGGGTATAAGCAGAGGTGGGGTCAAAGTCCGAGGTCGGAGCTAAGACCGGAGGTTCCAGAGACGAGACGTGAACGGGATACCGGAGCGGAGGTCCGGGGGTTGGGAGCATAGGTTTGCGTACTCGTCTGGAAGGTGTCGAGGTTGGGGTCGGACCCGGAATGTTCCGGAGTCGGACTGAAGGTGGTGTCCGAGCCGGAGGTGGGATAACCTCTTGGGAGTCAGCAAGGAGAAAGTGATGGAAGGGAAGTAGGGCTCCGGAAGTCAGAGTTCGGAGTTCCAGGAGCCCGGAGCAGAGGTCGGGATTGTATGGATATGACATTGGCCTTCGGCCCGGGTCCGCTTCCATTCATTCTTTCCTCCTATATATATCCTGTATGATACTTTATTGTACCTTAGCTCTAATATCAATTTGACCATGACTCCCCAAGTCCTGACCCCAGCAAGGCAACCCCAGTAAGTCTGAAATGAGGGCCAAGAGACAGCTAGGGGGCACAGCGCTCCTTTAGAGTCGCTGAGGCCAAATGCCCTACCCTTGGGCCTTGTTTGCGGCATCATGGCCATCGTGGCCTATAGCGGCCTGCAACAGTGACCTTCAGTGCCGACCCTGGACCAGTGTCTAACAAGTTGTCTCCATGGCGAAGGGCTTCGGCCTCAGCGACTCAGGCCAGGAGCACTGTGCCAAGTTACATGTCCATGCCCTAATTTACTTACTGGCAATGAGAACTAAAAAGGGGGATCAACTCTAGTCGATTTTATCACTAGGGTGTAACCTATCTACAAGTTATGTATATATAGTTACAGTGAGGGTGGGCCTGTGAATAGCAGGACCAAGTGGAGCAGAGCTAATGGGGATAGATGTTAGCCGACTGAATATTACCAACAAGTCAGGTTGTGGGTTTAGCAGAATGATGGGTTAAGACCCACAAGCAGTGTAGGAGAAATAATATTCAAAGAATAAAACAATGATCTATCAGAATAGTCAACAAAAAGGTGACAAGTTCAGACGTTTAACAGATCTCATGATCTTTATGAGACTGGACAGACATTAGAAGATCATTATAAATTATCTACACCCATGTAGCATGAGATTTAATCTACTACAAGCATGCCTAGAACCTGGCATAGGTGTAATATTCAAAGAATATATCCCTACAACAAGAAAATAGCACATAGACGGCAGAATAAGAAGGAACATTGGGAAAGAAATGTGAATATCTCAGGAACCAGTAAACTTTTGACTGTAATCCTTTTACCATCTGAAAGGACTGTTTCTAAACTTTATCCACGGTTTTGTTTCATTCTAAAAGCTTCAAAACTGACGGAGATATCGCTCAAACGGCGAAACACCTTATAATTCATATATATTTATTTGCTAATTCTTATAAAAAGTAATGTGACTCAAGGGAAATATATTGGCGCCCGAAAGTCTGGCGGACCAAATACCATATAACAGAGTATTCCCCGACGCAGGCAGACAGTTTTTGATCGCATCAGAAGAGGAGAAAATGCTAAAAAACCGGATCTTGTATATTTTCCCATGATTCATCAAAACTTTTTGATTTTAAGCTCAAATAAATCGGAACAAAGGAATGATTGATGATCTGGATCTCAGATCATAAGCATAAAATGATTCAGAAGTCCGCGGATCAGTTAATTAATTGGGAAAGCTCTAGAACATTAGTAATGATGCGGCTTCACAAAAAGGGGTGAATTAGAGAACAGTCTAGAAAGTTCCTTTATAGCCGAGTCATTTCTAAAGATAACCGTTCGTAATTAAGGCGGTGTAGAGCATAGCTTTAGCGCTACAAGACCCCGCTAATATCGGCCCAAAAGACAAAGAACTGAATTACTTATTGCTGAGTCATGTCCTAAGTCCATTATTAAGCTTACACAGCCCAAGCCCCTATATCATTCTAGAACTATCTATAATACAAATGTAGCACATGTAACTAGTGCGAGGCGTGGGAGTATAGAGGCCTCTGAAAAGCATAAAAGGCCGCCGCTTCTGCCCCCTCTCAAACCTCAGGTAGAAATAAAAGTTTAATTCTCCTCACCAGTGGTTGGTTCGTTTGCTCCAAAAGATAAAAGCAAATATGAGTTGTTAGCTAATATAAAACTAACACGTCACTCTAAGCGTGAGTTAGAGTCAGTTAGACACGGCTGAAAAAAAGTGTTACAGTGAGAATTAGTGAGAATTTGGTGGAGGGACTTCTTAATTGAATAATCTCTCAGTAATATTTGGTTATCACACCACAGGAGAAAAGTGAGCGATCCTGAACCTGCTAGATAACTAGCATGCACTCTAAGCGATAGAAAGAGCAGTTTGGTCACTCCTGTATTGAGTAACATTTATTGCAGAATTATTTT